CGTTAGCCTTTTGCCGTCAGAAAGTATTTTGACCCACTTTTGAGATACGGTGTCCGAAAAGTAGGTCAAAATAAAAAACTCTCCAAATTTAACGTTTGAGTTATGAATTAAGAATAGAATTTTCTCAGAAATCTGAATCTGCAAACCAAATTTCGATTCGACTTCCGGTTCCGAAGTTATGGCGTGTCCGAAAAGTAGGTCAAAATAAAAATTCGCCAAATTTAACGTATTAGTTATGAATTAGGGGTAGAATTTTGTCAGGAATCCGAATATGCAAATTACATTCGATCCGACTACCGGTTCGGAAGTTGTGGCGTTTTGAAATTTCAAGAAAAATCGATCTGATGGTATCCTGATAGAAAGTCAAGAGTAGAGAAGAAAATATTGAAAAATGCATCCATCCTTCCTTTCTGATCCTATCCTATCCTTCCTATCTACCCTTGCTTCGTATCCTCTCCTTCCTATCCTTCCTATTCTATCCCTTCTTCCTATTCTATTCTATCCTTCTTTCCTATTCTATCCTATCATTCCTTCCTATTCTATCCTATCCTTCGTTCTTTTTTCATCCATCCATCCATCTTTTACTGGATGACTTAGCTTATTTTGGATGACTTGGCTTATTCTGGATGACTCGGCTAAAAAAAGTCTAGATCTGGAGTCTGAAATTGAACTCGTTCAATTTCCAAAATCTAGTTATTATTCTTCCTAAGCATTTTTCTCCTACTTCCAACTAGCTTTCAACTACCTACTATATGATCCTACTAGTAACCTTGGCTGGAATAGGGGGGAAAATATTTTTTATCTAGGTCAAGGTCAAAGGTCAAAATCTAGGTCAAATCTAAGTTTTTTTTCAAGTTTCTCAAGTTTGTCCTTATACTTCATTATTTCTTGCGATGAATTAAACTGAAACTACATTTAAGTATTCTCTACAAATTGTTCACTATATGTCAGCATTAAATTTTTACCGTTTTTGAGATATTTGACGTCAAAAAACGGTCAAAAAAGGTCATTTTTCAACTTGCTTCAATCTGACCAAATTTTTTTTTAAAAATCATCTACAAGTTCCCAGGAGTCAAAATCTGACCTCAGATTTGACCTTCGTCCTTTAGTTGACCTTCAGTGACCTTCGAAAGGTCAGAAAAGTTGATTTTTCAAATTGAGTCTTTGGATTCAAATTTAAGTCAGTCTAATTACAAAAAGCCTACTGAGGTCTAAAAAAGTAAAAATTTCAAGGTCAAAGGTCAAGGTCATCAAATTAGGTCACAAACTGTGCTATCTAAGTTTCTCATAGTTCAAGACTACAAATCAATATTTTTAATTGAAAGTCAAGATGTACATTCCTCTGAGGGTTCTACACATATTAGTCATTGACTATTTATTAAAATTTTGTCCCAGTTTTGAGATATAAGAGCTCAAAAACTGAAAAAGGTCAATTTTTTAAAGTTTATAAGGTCAAATTTTAACTTGCTTCAAATTCACCCAACTTTTTTTTAAAAATTATCTACAATATCTCAGGAGTTCATATTTAACCTCAGATTTGACATTTGACCTTTAGTTGACCTTCAGTGACCTTCGAGATGTCAGAAAAGTTGATTTTTCAAATTGAGTTTTTGGATTCAAATTTAGGGTAAGCCTAATCATAAAAGACCCACTGAGCTCTAAAACAGTAACATTTTCAAGGTCAAGGTTCACGGTTATCAAATTAGGTCAAAGGTCAAAATCTAGGTCAAATCTAAATTTTTTTCAAGTTTCTCAACTTTGTCCTTATACTTCATTATTTCTTGCGATGAATTAAACTGAAACTACATTTAAGTATTTTCTACAAATTGTTCACTATATGTCAGCATTAAATTTTTACCGTTTTTGAGATATTTGACGTCAAAAAACGGTCAAAAAAGGTCATTTTTCAACTTGCTTCAATCTGACCAATTTTTTTTTAAAAATCATCTACAAGTTCCCAGGAGTCCGAATCTGACCTCATATTTGACCTTTGACCTTTAGTTGACCTTCAATGACCTTCGAAAGGTAAGAAAAGTTGATTTTTCAAATTGAGTCTTTGGATTCAAATTTAGGTCAACCTGATTGAAAAAGACCTACTGAGGTCTAAAAGGGTAAAATTTTTCAAGGTCAAAGGTCAAGATCATGAAATTAGGTCACAAACTGTGCTTTCTAAATTTCGCAAAGTTCGAGACTACAAACCAATATTTTTAACCCTAAGTAGAAATATACACATCCCTCTAAGGGTTCTACACATATAACCAATTGACTATCTAATATAATTTTGTCCCAGTTTGAGATATAAGAGTTCAAAAATTGAAAAAGGTCAATTTCGAAATTTTTCAAGGTCAAATTTAAACTCGCTTCAAATTGACAAAATCTTTTTTTGAAAATCATCTACAAGTTCTCAAGAGTTCACATCTGACCTCAGATTTGATATTTGTCCTTTAGTTGACCTTCAAATTGTCAAAAATGCCTAAGATTGCTTGCAATCTTCAAAAGTCTAGTTATTATTTATTCTTCTCTGCACTTTTTCTCCTACTTCTAGCTAGGTCTGAGTTAACTCTTATATGCTCCTACTAGGGACCTTGGCTGAAATTGAGGGGAAAGGAATTTTTATCTAGGTCAAGGTCAAAGGTCAAAATCTAGGTCAAATCAAAGTTTTTATAAGTTTCTCAGATTTCGTCCTCATACTTCATTATTTCTTGCGATGAATTAAAATGTAACTAGATATAAGCATTCTCTACAAATTGCTCACTATATGTACGCGTTAATTTTTTACCGTTTTTGAGATATTTGACGTCAAAAATCGGCAAAAATCGGTCATTTTTCAACTTGCTTCAAATGAACCAGATTTTTTTTTAAAAATCATCTACAAGATCTCAGGAACTCAAATATGTCCTTACTTTTGACCTCCGACCTTTGGTTGACCTTCGGTGACCTTCGAAAGGTAAAAAAAGTTGTTTTTTCAAATTGATTTTCTGGATTCAAATTTAGGTATATTTGATCACAAAGGACCCACTGAGGTCTAAAAAAGTAAAATTTGCAAGGTCAAAGGTCAAGGTCATCAAACTAAATCACAAACTGTGTTTTCTAAGTTTCTCAAAATTGGAGACTACAAATCAATATTTTTTCATGAAAGTCAGCATATATATTCCTCTATAGGTTCTACACATATTAGCAATTGACTATTTATTTAAATTGTGTACCAGTTTTGAGATATTGGAACTCAAAAACTGAAAAAAGGTCAAATTTCGAAACTTTTCAAGACTAAATTTCAACTTGCTTCAAATTGACCAATTTCTTTTTTAAAACTCATCTACAAGTTCTCAGGATTCCAAATCTAACCTTACTTTTGACATTTGACCTTTGGTTGACCTTCAGTGACCTCCGAAAGGTCAAAAAATTTGATTTTTCAAATTAATTTTCTGGATTCAAATTTAGGTATATTTATTCACAAAAGACCTTCTGAGGTCTAAAAAAGTAAAATTTGCAAGGTCAAAGGTCAAGGTCATCAAACGAAATCACAAACTGTGTTTTCTAAGTTTCTCAAAATTTGAGACTACAAATCAATATCTTTAAATGAAAGTCAGAATATATATTCCTCTATAGGTTCTACACATATTAGCAATTGACTATTTATTAAAATTGTGTACCAGTTTTGAGATATTAGAACTCAAAAACTGAAAAAAGGTCAAATTTCGAAACTTTGCAAGACTAAATTTCAACTTGCTCTAAATTGACCACCCTTTTTTAAAAAGCATCTACAGGATCTCAGGTATCCAAATCTGACCTTACTTTTGACCCTTGACCTTTGGTTGACCTTCAGTGACCTTCGGAAGGGAAAAAAGTTGATTTTTTAAATCAATTTTCTGGATTCAAATTTAGGTATATTTGATCACAAAAGAGCTACTGAGGTGAATTAAAGTAACATTTGCAAGATCAAAGGTCAAGGTCATCAAATTAAATCACCAACTGTGTTTTCGAAGTTTCTAAGTTTTGGTGACTACAAATCAATATTTTTTCATTAAAGTCAGGATATATATTCCTCTATAGTTTCTACACATATTAGCAATTGACTATTTATTAAAATTGTGTACCAGTTTTGAGATATTAGGACTCAAAAACTGAAAAAAGGTCAAATTTCCAAACTTTTCAAGACTAAATTTCAACTTGCTTCAAAATGACCAAACTTTTTTTTAAAATCATCTACAAGTTGCCTGGTGTTAGTATATGACCCTAGATTTGAGATTTGACCTTTGGCTGACCTTTAAATTGCCAAAAACGCCTACAGGGCCTCCGTAAGATTGCTTGCAATCTTAAATCTCTAGTTATTTGTGATTGGTGATCAATATTTAAGTAAAAGCATAATAGGTAGTGCATGTCTGTAGCCAGAAACACCAAGAAATTTTGTTGTTCAATATGTAGGACATTCAAAAATAAACATTCAGAATGATGTCAGTTTTTTGTAAAAAATTTAAAAAAACATTTTTTTATGTTTCTTAAAGACTTTAAACAGCACTTGGTCTTCAAGGTGCCATGTGTATTATGTCTTAGATGTATTTTTTAACTCAATTATCACTTTATGTTTTCCAGAGAATGTCCCCTGGCCCTTCAAGCAGCACTTGACCTTCAAAGTGCCATATGTTTTATGTCTTAGATGTATTTTTTAACTCAATTATCACTTTATGTTTTCCAGAGAATGTCCCCTGGCCCTTCAAGCAGCACTTGACCTTCAAAGTGCCATATGTTTTATGTCTTAGATGAATTTTTGAACTCAATTATCACTTTATGTTTTCCAGAGAATGTCCCCTGGCCCTTCAAGCAGCACCTGGTCTTCAAGGTGCCATGTGTGTTAAAGTCTTAGATGTATTTCTAACTGATCAATCATTACTGTTTTCTAGAGAATTTCCGCTGGCCCTTCAACCAGCACTTGGTCTTCAAGGTGCCATGTGTGTTAAAGTCTTAGATGTATTTCTAACTCAATCATTTCTGTTTTCCAGAGAATGTCCCCTAGCTCTTCAAGCAGCAATTGGTCTCATGAGTCTTGGAGTGAAAGGTTCAGAAGTTGCCACACTTGTTCTCAATGCTGTACCTAACATGGGACATACAGATTGGTATGTTAGGCCAAGAAAAAATGTTTTGCTTTGGCCACAATAATAGGAGGTTGCAAGAATGTTAAGAAAAATAGAGATAATCGTTCAGGCCTGATTCATCTTAAAAGGATAAATTATTGTCAAGAAGTTTTGAGAAGGCATATAGAAGCAAAATGGAGGAGCCTCTCTATATGATACCGGTTCCCATTGCCTATAATGTTTATTTAGTAAATATTGATTGAAATGATCCAAAAAATACTTTCACAACTAGCAAATAGTTTTTGCTATTCATTTTTGAAATAAGATTCCGGCAATGCAATCATATACAAATATATTGTTTTGTCATTAATAGTGATAAAATTCCTTGCAATATTTAAAATAGAAAAGGCTTCTCACACTTCTGTGTGTTGACACCTCTGTTTGTGAGACACCTCTGTGTGTTGACACCTCTGTGTGTGAGACACCTCTGTCTCTTGAGCACTTTAAAGTCCTTAAAAGGACATAGACTTAATGTTAAAAGAATTTTCATTGCGAATCTTAAAGCATCTTTATCAATAGTTTAAAATAAGCAAAGTACACAATAGGATAAATTACAATGTACTTATAAAATAGCTACAATAGCTTACCTTCTTTATAATACACAATAGAAAAATTATTTAATTTTCCAATTTTTTCAGGCTGCCTAGTTGGATCAAGGGTCATGCATTTGCAGCAAGCAAGGATTACAGCAGCGCAATATCATCATTCAAAATGTTAGACTCTAAGGTAAGATGCATTGTACATGTATGTACAATAAGGTGTGATGCATTCAATGTACAAGGTATAATCTGTTCAATGCAGGGATCTCCCCAGGATTTTTCTCAGGTGGATGCAAAATTCTCATTTTCAGAATTCAGACCAAAATTGACCAAATCAAAATATGCCAATTTTTCATGATTTTTCAAGTGGGTGCAAATTGATTTTCAGATGGGTGCAAGCCTGTTTTTAAAATCTCAGGTGGATGCTGCGTCCACTTGCTTTAATGCTGGGGAGATCACTGCAATATTTTAGGTATGATGTATTTAGTGTATAAGGTACTATGCTTAAATGTTAATGATGCATCAATTGATTAACATAATGAATGACACACAATGTTTAAGGTATGACATGTTGATGTACTATGTAACCTTGGTAACTGAGGTGTTTATTATTCACTTTTGTTGCAGGCACAGTTACTTGACAGCACTGATGTACGATGTAACATTGGTAACTGAGGTGTTTATAATTTTCTTGTGTTGTAGGCACAGTTACGTGACAGCACTGATGTACTTTGTAACCTTGGTAACTGGGGTGATTATAGGTTATTTGTGTTGCAGGCACAGTTACGTGACAGCACTGATGTACTTTGTAACCTTGGTAACTGGGGTGTTTATAGGTTATTTGTGTTGCAGGCACAGTTACGTGACAGCACTGATGTACTTTGTAATCTTGGTATACGGAGGTGTATATTATTCACTTTTGTTGCAGGCACAGTTACTTGACAGCACTGATGTACTATGTAACCTTGGTAACTGAGGTGTTTATAAATTTTTTGTGTTGTAGGCACAGTTACGGGACAGCACTGATGTACTTTGTAATCTTGGTAACTGAGGTGTTTATTATTCACTTTTGTTGCAGGCACAGTCACTTGACAGCACTGATGTACTATGTAACCTTGGTAACTGAGGTGTTTATAAGTTATTTGTGTTACAGGCACAGTTACGTGACAGCACTGATGTACTTTGTAACCTTGGTGAGGCACATTTCCTGAGTGGAGACTACACAAATGCCGGCCTTGTCTTACGAAGAGTGAGTATTGTCGTAACTTGAGCATATGGGAGATACATAAACATCATATTGCTCCGTGAATTCAGTTTTGACCTTATATCAAGATCATTTAATGGCAGCAAATGTTTCAGTCAAAGACTCTTTAAGTCTGTAGCCTAATATGAACCAAAAATTCTTATAACCTTCTCTTATGAATTGAGTTTTTTGAGATTTGATTTGGCCAGTTTTTCAAATGATCTGAGTGTTGTTGTAAACCATACAATTACTTGCAATTTTGAGCCACTTGGTCGAAAACTTTATTTAATTCTGTGTCATGCATGGACCTCTGAGCATTTGTACTTGCTAAATCATCTAATACATATTTTGGTCATGTAAAAGTAAAGCCACTCAGGCCCGTAGCCAGAATTTTCCAAGGGGGGGGGTCACTTTTCCAAAAAATTCTAGGGGGGTTCACTTTGGCAAATTTGGCCAAAAATCACTCAAAAAATAGTCAGAATGGTGAAAAACTGCATGATTTTGAAAGAAATTTTGGCCAGGGGGGGCTCGCCCAAACCCCCGAACCCCCCCCCCCCCCTGGCTACGGGCCTGCCACTAGATGCATAATGTAGATTTATTTCAGGCACATAGCCTAGACCCTCTCCTGCTATACAAGATGGATCTCTTAGCCTATCTGCTCTATAAAGAAAAGAAAACAAAAGAATTAGAAAGGTATAGTTATAATATATTCATCATTAATAGTTATATGCAGTCACCGTAAGAATATTATGTAAAATATGTAATTGTTAATATCTAAATCATATGTGTGATCGTGTGTTCGTTGTATTTATATTTTATTTCCATAAATGGTCATGGTATTCTGGTAAACTTCATCACGCTTTAGTCATTGAAAAGCATATATAGTACATGCTATAACTACTAAATGACACTAGTGCACACTTGACTGGCTCTTTGGTTCAGTAGTTTAAAGTACCTGTGTTAGAGCACAGGAGATTTCAGAATAGCCTTCTTATCATTACACCAGCTTAGAATCTTTATACCATGATCACCAAGGTATGCAGAATATGAAAAAGATGGCAGAAAAAAGTAATAATAAAAAAATATAATACCATGATCACCATGATATGCAGAATAAAAAAGAGGCAGAAAAAAGTAATAATAAAAAAATATGAATATTTTTGTTAAAAATTATTTTTGTACTTGTGATTTCAGTCTGTCTAGTACACTGATGCACACAACAGAATTTGCTCCAGAACCTTGGGTTGCTATGGGATACTATTGCCTAGCAACTAAAAAGGGAACAAGAGCTGTATACTTTGCCCAGAAGGTATGGTTTAAAGGGAGAAGGGGAAAATTGTGATCCTGAAAATTACTGGAAAATTCTAAGATTGAATTAAGCTTCAGATTCAGTATGAATTGTTTTTATGTCACCACATCACCACCACAAGTGGTGACATATTGTTATAGTCTCCAAACTTTTTGTGGATGGTGTTCAGTGGTCAACATTTGGCATCTGTAACAGATGGCAAGTGGTGACATTTTGCATGTTAATGCCTTGCTTACAAACTATTGTCACCATGAACAATTAGGATACTTTTCATACACCACTCTTTCTAATAGGGTTGCTCCATTTGATTTTTTTTGTTTCTCCAAGAGTTACATGTACATGGCAAACAATAAGAACAGGAAGATATTTTTTCTAAAGAGGATTGCTCTGTTTGAATTATTTTTGCTCCTTGTAGGGCTACATGATAGACAATAAGAACATAGAGGCATTACTGCTAAAGGGAACTGCTAAAAGTGATTGCTCTGTTTGAAATAATTTTGCTCCTTGTAGGGCTACATGATAGACAATAAGAACATAGAGGCATTACTGCCAAAGGGGATTGCTAAAAGTGATTGCTCTGTTTGAAATATTTTTGCTCCTTGAAGGGCTACATGATAGACAATAAGAACATAGAGGCATTACTGCTAAAGGGAATTGCTAAAAGTGATTGCTCTGTTTGAAATATTTTTGCTCCTTGTAGGGCTACATGATAGACAATAAGAACATAGAGGCATTACTGCTGAAGGGGATTGCTAAAAGTGATTGCTCTGTTTGAAATATTTTTGCTCCTTGTAGGGCTACATGATAGACAATAAGAACATAGAGGCATTACTGCCAAAGGGGATTGCTAAAAGTGATTGCTCTGTTTGAAATATTTTTGCTCCTTGTAGGGCTACATGATAGACAATAAGAACATAGAGGCATTACTGCCAAAGGGGATTGCTAAAAGTGATTGCTCTGTTTGAAATATTTTTGCTCCTTGTAGGGCTACATGATAGACAATAAGAACATAGAGGCATTACTGCTAAAGGGAATTGCTAAAAGTGATTGCTCTGTTTGAAATATTTTTTTTGCTCCTTGTAGGGCTACATGATAGACAATAATAACATAGAGGCATTACTGCCAAAGGGGATTGCTAAAAGTGATTGCTCTGTTTGAAATATTTTTGCTCCTTGTAGGGCTACATGATAGACAATAAGAACATAGAGGCATTACTGCCAAAGGGGATTGCTAAAAGTGATTGCTCTGTTTGAAATATTTTTGCTCCTTGTAGGGCTACATGATAGACAATAAGAACATAGAGGCATTACTGCTAAAGGGAATTGCTAAAAGTGATTGCTCTGTTTGAAATATTTTTGCTCCTTGTAGGGCTACATGATAGACAATAAGAACATAGAGGCATTACTGCTAAAGGGAATTGCTAAAAGTGATTGCTCTGTTTGAAATATTTTTGCTCCTTGTAGGGCTACATGATAGACAATAAGAACATAGAGGCATTACTGCCAAAGGGGATTGCTAAAAGTGATTGCTCTGTTTGAAATATTTTTGCTCCTTGTAGGGCTACATGATAGACAATAAGAACATAGAGGCATTACTGCCAAAGGGGATTGCTAAAAGTGATTGCTCTGTTTGAAATATTTTTGCTCCTTGTAGGGCTACATGATAGACAATAAGAACATAGAGGCATTACTGCCAAAGGGGATTGCTAAAAGTGATTGCTCTGTTTGAAATATTTTTGCTCCTTGTAGGGCTACATGATAGACAATAAGAACATAGAGGCATTACTGCTAAAGGGAATTGCTAAAAGTGATTGCTCTGTTTGAAATATTTTTTTTGCTCCTTGTAGGGCTACATGATAGACAATAATAACATAGAGGCATTACTGCCAAAGGGGATTGCTAAAAGTGATTGCTCTGTTTGAAATATTTTTGCTCCTTGTAGGGCTACATGATAGACAATAAGAACATAGAGGCATTACTGCCAAAGGGGATTGCTAAAAGTGATTGCTCTGTTTGAAATATTTTTGCTCCTTGTAGGGCTACATGATAGACAATAAGAACATAGAGGCATTACTGCTTAAGGGAATTGCTAAAAGTGATTGCTCTGTTTGAAATATTTTTGCTCCTTGTAGGGCTACATGATAGACAATAAGAACATAGAGGCATTACTGCTAAAGGGAATTGCTAAAAGTGATTGCTCTGTTTGAAATATTTTTGCTCCTTGTAGGGCTACATGATAGACAATAAGAACATAGAGGCATTACTGCTAAAGGGAATTGCTCTGTTTGATATGAAGAAACTACAGGAGGCCACAGTTCACTTCAGAGAGGCACTCAGGATTGCTCCTTATAGATACGAGGCACATAAAGGTGATGAAATACTTATAATTAATTAAGCCTCATCCCTCTTATATTTTTTGTGTTTCAGGCCTGCAATTAGCAAGCTACTGTTAACAATTAGTTTTTCAGTCAGTACTTGAAATATTTGATAAACAAATAGTGTGATGATATGAATTGTTTATAATTAAAATTTTTACCCTGTCTTATGACAATTTGGCTAGTAGGTGGCCATTTTTGCATGTATTATTTTACATTTTTTCTACAACTCATAAAGTAGAAGAGTGATATTTTACATATGTGACTGCTTAGAAAAGTGTTACACTGTCTAATTTGACAATTGGGCCAATACTTAGGGCCATTTTCCTAAATGGCAAAGGCTGTTCACTTGGCTTTGATACACCTTAGCAATGCTGTTATCTAAGCTTTAGATATATCTAAATAAGTTCTTTTGTCTTTTTCTTGTATGAAAGAAATAATGAACAATAGGCCATTAATTAATGTAAGCTGTCTTCCAGTGGAAATCAGATAAAGAAAGGCAGAGCTTCAGTCTTCTAACAATCATGTTAAAATTGGGGTAAAAAAAGGCAAGAAAAGCAATGGTCCCTCTATGGTCCTGCAAATCATCATCACTGGGCACTCAGAGTGAAAAACCACCAGAAATAGCCGACAATCTAGCTCATAAATTTTTCTGCGCCCATTATAACTAACATTTTTAACATAAAATATACTTGTTATTCAGTTATGTACTGTAGTCTGAGGTATGTTGAGCAGTCACGATTATACACTTTACAAAATGAGTTATGCATCATGTGATTTCAAATGAAATTTGTAGAAGTTCATTCTTTTCCATTTATTTTTCAGGGCTGGTCCATTGTTATTTGGCTACAGGTCATAGGACAAGGGAAGCCATTTCACTTGCAGGACAAGCTGTTAAATCTCTGGGCAACAATGCCAGATCCCTTACAGTAAGTACAGCACCTTATGCAAGTTTAATGTTTTGTAGCTTTGTATTTGCTTGTATATTAAAGTGACGCAATGGACCATTTGCTGTATAGATATATAGAGATGGATAAATAGATGGCAGCATGTGTGTTGGTAGGGCCAGAATACTATTGCTAGTATAGAGAATCCAGGTTGAAAGTCACTTGATTCTCATCATAAGCTAACACCAACTGACAGACATGTTCATAAAGTACTTGTTAATATAAATATAATATTATACCATCATTAGATGGAAATTTACTGGCTTAATAGGCACCTGAATATCATTGAGTTTCAAACATTTTTATCCACTACACTGTCAGTGACTATCTTTTTTAATAATATATGAATGTTTCAGTTGTATGCCTCAGTGCTTGCTAAGGAGACTCTATCTATTGAGAAGGCTAAGTCTTACCTTGAGAAAGCTATGAAGCTAGATAGTACATACTTAGAAGCAGTATTCACTATGGTAGAGATCCATCAGAAACAACAGCAATGGGACAAAGGCATTGAGTTGTAAGTTTTGTTTTTTGTGTATATTCAAAATTCAAATATGTGTCTTGGTTATGAGTGTACTTAAAATAAACAATATCTTATGTTTTACATGCCATTATAAAAATGATTTAGAACCCAGAATGATTCTATGAAAATATTATAAAATTGTATGAAATATTTCATGATCGTTTTTGATAAATAGTATTGATATATTTCTCTATTTCTCTTGATGTTTTGAAATTATTTAAAGATGTCATACCAAGCACAGTACAAGGGCCGATCAAAAAGTTTCTTACCATTGGCTCTCAATTTTATAATAAGAGGATTTGGAAGCTCAAACTTTAACATGAGACAGGATAGTTAGTTTGCTTGAAACTGTACGAATTTCATATAAATTGGTTTATTGGTAGTGACACAGAGTCAATTCATATGTCCAATGACACAGTTAGGTGGAGCAGCGTTATATATAAAATATCTGCTGAGTTGTGGTTCTGGAAATTTACTGACATCGTTTAAAACCTCTCATAGGAAGGCCTTAAACATGTGTTTTTGGATCGGATGGACAGATATAGGAAGTGCATTGCAACTGGGGATGAATATTTTGAATGAGAATGAATATTAGCAGAAAAACTAATTAAACATGATTAAACTACAGTTTGTTGACAGATGACGCTACTTAGTGTTAGAAATTTCCAAAACTGCAGCTTAGCAAAAAATTTTATAAAAAACGCTGCTCCACCTAATTCAATCATTGAAAATATGTATTGACTTTGAGTCACTACCAATAAACCAATTTAAATGAAACTCATACAGTCTCAAGCAAACTTACTACCCTGTCTCATGTAAAAGTTTGAGCATCCAACTCCTCATATTATAAAATCTAGAGCCAACGGTAAGAAACTTTTTGATCGGCCCTTGTATAACTAAAGTGAACAATGCTTTGAGCAGATTAAAATATGCTTACATTGAAAAAATTTTCTATGGATAGATTCTGATTACATTAGGCGGTTTCTTATTCATATTATCAAGTTTGTTTCTTTTCTAGGTTACGCAAGACATTACGTACAGAGAGCAACTGTAAACTACACACTCTGCTAGGAGAGTTTCTCCAGCAGACCAATGAGGTGCAAGAAGCCCTGGATCAGTTCAGCATTGCTCTCAGGTATTTAATTAATTTCCCATAATGCATCTGGTAAAAGCAGATGATTTTTGAAGGAGTAAAAAGAGCAGAGAAATATGATAAGGAAGAGTTGGAATATTTCCCTAGAATTAATACCATATTCTCTGTACTAAGGGTTCGCCCCATAATCAAGTGGGCGATAATAGAGTATTTACATTAAACACAATCTTTACCTTAAACTCTCCAATAAAAATGTTGAGAGGATCAGAGTGATTTGGAAATAAAAAGTCTGTGTGCTTCCCTTAATGCAAAGGAATAAAGCAAACTTTAAGAGAAACTTTGTCTAATATTTCAGAATTCATAACGCAAAGCAATAACGCAGACATTAACTTGGAAATGTTGACGTTTTATTTCAGTATTGACCTTGACGCATATTATTAGATTACATTGAAAACCCTTCGTCTTCTTTTCAGTATTGCCCTTGACGCATATTATTAGATAACATTGAAAACCCTTCGTCTTTTCAGTATTGACCCAAGCAATACTGCTGCACGTGAAGGACTTGAACGTGTGGAGAAGCAAAGTGAAATGGGAATGGAAAGTTCATTTGATGTTGATGTGGAAGACATGGAAAATACAAGTGATAATGATGTAAGTATATACTATGTGGTTTTTGTATTGTGTAAATTCCTGTCTTATATTTTTAATATTTACTATGCCGCTAATTAGGTCAGCAGCTGAGCAAATTTAAAAAAATAAGTTTGTCCCCTAAGTTTCTCACTAGATTCATGTAGAGCAAGGTCTTGGGCTTATTTAGAGCTTGGGTTCTCGGTTCTAGCCCCGGCAACGAATGTAAAAAATGGTCCTATAGGTGGCACCCCTTACAATTCAGCCCCAAACTTAAAACTAATTATTATTTTCATAACTGAAACATAAAGACATCTCAAATAGCTTAAATTGATCAATGGTACATTAAATTATGCATTAAAAATTTTTTCAATGTGTGAAAATCATAATTTATGGAGAAATAGTTGATTAACCCCTTAAAACGCCCCCTATTTTAAAGGGGATACTTAAGTTAACTTCTGTAACTTTTGTGTTATTCAGGATTTGGGCTTAAAAATATTCCTGAATATGTACAATTATAGTGTTGAGAGACTGCAGTAACCCTATGTTCATAGCTTTATAACTTTTTGAGAAAAAAAAATAAAACGTATTTCCATATAATTTGGATTTGTATTATTTTCAGATAAACCATCATCTATACTTTTTAATTTACTTTCCACACCTTACACCCATGCATAGTATTAATACTTTTCTTTCATTTTAGACCAATATAGATGACTGTAGTTCACTTAAATTAAATAATAATAAAAAATTTAAGCAGAAATTATTGATTTACCTCTTAAAACACCCCTTATATAGGGATACATACATTATAGCTTCTATAACTCACTATAACTTATGTTTCGTTCAACATTTAGGCTTGAAAATATCCTTGAATTTGAAGACTTGTGTGTGTGGGAGACTTAATAGTTAACCTTTGCTCCTAAATAAATAAATAATTTACCAATGCTGTTGTCTTTGTAAATTATCTCAAATTCAGATTCTGTTGTCATTGACGATATCGAAGACGCTATATTGTGGCGATTCACGTCCCCATTTGATAGAAATTTGGATTTCATATAATACATCATCACATGAGCTTAATACATGCACAGAATTAGTGATGATAAAATCCCATGAGAAACGAGGACCAAGTGGTTGAAGAGTTGAAGCGACAGTTATGTCCGCCATTTGTGACAACGGTATCTGGCTTTATCAAATACTCAGCTTGACCCATTGGAATATGGCTTCGTTCTTGAAAATGATCTTGATACAAAGGATATTCTGTATATCACCTGATGATCTGATTTTACAATGTAATTAACCAAATGCGAATAGGCAGTTACCAGTTTCACCGCCAGGAGGCTAATTCGGGGCCGAACATGGCAGGGTATTAGAAAGTTCCCCTAAACTTGAATATTCATCAGCTTTAGTGTTTCAATTTTCATATCACCTTATGTATCTGATAGTTATATACAGTACAAATTAAAAAATATGCCCAGTAAAAGAAAAAATATTATGTGTCCAATACAAGCAAAGATATTTCACTTCTTGTGATTTTATTAACATGGGGTCTATGGAGAATCTCTTCGAACTAAAAATTGCATTTTCAAAGAAAAATTAAATTTTCAAAGTTGCAAAAACACATGCCTAGATGTAATTTTACATGTAGATTTCAAATATGATATCACTTTGACTGAATTTTTAATTTTTAATGGCACAAATCAAGATTATTTCTACTTCCATCTAATTAATTATAGTAAGTGTGGTACAAAACAGATTATGTGAACTGAACAAAATTAATTGTTGCATGTTTTGTAAGTGCAAGGGAAGTGGTAACTGTAATTACCATCTAATCAAGCTTTTAGAAAGTGTTGTAAGTAATGCATGAACTTATTAATCTGATGTCACTGTGATACCGTATGTATGTTTTTTCGAAGAATCATCATAACACAACCAGCAGAAAGTATTTTTCTTTGTATGTTGTGAAAATAGTTGTGCAATTCATTTTATAGCGACGCAGTATGCCTTAAACATTTCCCAGACCTATATATTTTGAGACTATCCTTTTAATACTGCGTCCCCAGCATTCATAAAAAATGATGTTCAAGATACACTACCCATGCAAATTATTTTTGCATCTTGGAAGCCAGGCAGTATCTGTGTGATTTTATAAAAATTCGGAAATGTTCTTCAGATATGAGCCCCCTCTAAATATTGGGTGCGGAGGTACGTTTATGGAGCCCCTCCGCACCCAATATTTAGAGGGGGCTCATATCTGAAAAACATTTCCGAATTTTTATAAAATCACACAGATACTGCCTGGCTTCCAAGATGCAAAAATAATTTGTATAGATAGTGTTCCTTGAACACCATTTTTTATGAATGCTGGGGACTCAGTATTAAAAGGATAATTTCAAAATATATAGGTCTGGGAAAGGTTAAAGGCACACTGCGTCGCTATAGAATGAATTGCGCTACTATTTTCACAATTGTATTGATATTTGGTGTCAAATACACATATCTTGGTATATTTGAAGTCCCAAACGGCTTAGTTTCACAAATATCCCAAATTTAAATTCAAAAATGACCGTAAGCTCCGCACCCTCCGCTCATTTGCTCCGCACCCAATATTTCCCACAGGCTCTGTCTGCATAGGGTGAATATGGAATTAGAAGAATACTCCCAAATTACAGTATACATTGTTTCACCCATTTCCATATATGGAATGAGAAGAATACTCCTGAATTACAGTATACATTGTGTCAGCCATTAAATTGCCATATACAGTATGGAATAAGAGAAAACTACTCCTCCATAATTACAATAGGTGTTAAATTATTTTACATTTCGTCGCATGAGAATAACTTTGTACTATCTCACATTTTTACGGAACTGAGAAATCAAGGTTTGAAAGTTTAGAGGTCTGTATCTTACTTAGTATTGCTATGTGAAACTTGATTTTTTGCATGTCACCTGGTCTCACCCTAGAGATATATTATATGAAATATCATACCTTGAAACAATTTACAAGGTCCTTTTTTAAAACTATGGAAATGGAGTTGATACAATTTCCCACCGGAATAACAGCTTATTTCTAATTTCAAATTGTCATATCTGATATCAACTGTTTCAACCAATCAACTCTCTAAGAATTGGTCATGTGACTTGCAAAACTTGGAGTTATAACAATCATATATTAAAACAAAGTATGCCAATATGCATGTTATTGTATCTACAATGAAAAATAATGTTTTGCTTTGTAAAAAAGTCTTCAAAAACCAAAGAATATTATTTAATAAAATAAAGAAAATTCAATTTATAAAACTTTAAAATCAATTTCTCAAATAAGTACAATTATTTCTTAATTTTGGAATCTCAGGACACCCTTCAAAAAGAATTTATTGCCTTTGAAACTAAGGCAGAAGTACAATGCATTGAAACCAATGATGCCAATACAGTCCCCCACATATTTCCCTCGGTATAAACCCTGTAGCCTAAACCTCCCAGCAGATTACAATGTAGCCCCTAAGGGCCGGTCCGCTGGTCATTATCAGGTTATTTTTGATACAGACCAGTTGATTTTTTCAATGGGTATAGGAGAATAACATGGCAACTGGTCCGTAATTCCTTTTTGAACAGCAGGTTTCAGATCCTTAGGGCCTAAGACATAACCAATTTTTATTACATGCACATGGAAGAAATTTGAAAATAGAAAAATAAATTCTAATTCATTTTAGATTAATGAAAGTGATGAAACCTCGATTTAGGTAATCACATTTTGTTCATTGGGATGCAGCTATCATTATCCATTCATTTTCTGTTGTTTGCTACTCTGTGGAGTACAATTGGGAATTGAAGCAATTGTAGAAGTGGAGACTAAGAGTGGCTCTTTGTAAAGAAATTGAACCAATTTGTTACTTTTCCAAAATAAAATGTAGATGATCTAAAAACAATGATCCCAAAAATGCAAAAGAAAGGATGAATCTGAAAAACATACTAATAATAAAATAACTAAAAAGATCCCACATGTTCAGTGAAAAGCGCAAAGTAAATCATAGATGAAGAGAAAATAAAATAAGTGTTTTAAGGGACTATACTAACATAAAGATAACTCCTTATTGATATAGTGTATGGTCAGTAAAAGTTAAAGCTAGTTTAGATAGATTTCGCTTTTTTCCACAAACTATAAAACATCATTTTGAAAGAGATTTCAATAGTATACAGACAGTGATTGCCTTTGAGCAATGTAGTGCAAAATATGACAGTTACTATTTGTTTTGATTACTATATCTAGTAATTATATAACCTATTATTATGTACTCTATTTGAAGAAACAAATAAGTAGTCTTTCATTTTCAACATTTAATGATGACAGCTTCGTATATGCATTTCTATTGCATTTGGCCATTCAAACCCCTATAAGACCTGGTAGCAGGGAAGATAAAGGGTACTTTTGACTGCTCACATGATCTAATTAACTGGTCATTTGTACTTTTCATCTTCCCTGGTAGCGAGGATTTAGATTTTCGAGGAAATTAGTAATTCTATTTCATATCATGTGGCCATGAATAATCCAATGAGCATCCATAATACAAAGAGTAATTGAGGGCATATAATTTGAATATGCATGGGATTACACATACTGTATCATTTTATTTTTTTGATCTACTTGTAATAGTTCTAAAACTAAAACATGAAAGGCCAGGCATGCAAACTGGCATGGTATTGTGTTACAAAACATTATTTCATTCTAGATACAATAACATGCATATTGGCATACTTCGTTTTAATATAAGATTGTTATAACTCCAGGTTTTGCAAGTCACATGACCAATTCTTAGACAGTTGATTGGTTGAAACAGTTGATATTAGATATGACAATTTGAAATTAGAAATAAGCTGTTTGTCTGGAGATGGTACAATTTCACACTGAATTCTAGCTTAATGAGAGGGAATTGAGATGGGGCATGTATCTGAGATGAAAGCCTGTGTTTCAAATAGTAAAATTCCATGTCTATCTCAATTTTTTTGAAAATGGCAGT